ATCCTTTTCAGGATAAATCAATACAGTACAAAAAACACCCCAAAAAATGTCGGATGTTGGAAAATAATGTCTTTTCTGTTCACCGAATGCGTTTTAATCTTCGCTTTTGCTTCAATGCAAATGAACAAGCGCGCCGTTATGTGTAGCGTAGTGACGTGTGTGTTCAGGTAAGCAGATATGAGCAGATTCTGCAATACGCTGTATTTAATATATCATGATCAGTATTTGCGCTAAATCTGCACATATTTGTCGTACACGAACTTCCCCAGAAAAGTGAGTAAACATAATAAGTAACACGGCAAACTGGCTCGTAATTGGACAGCGTTTCCCGCCACAGAGGATTGTTTCCCGCATTTCCCGGGTGTTCATTTCAAACCCTCTAACAAATTATAAAGTAACATGCATTATGTAATCAGATATTTTTAATGTAACGAGTAATGCATTACTTTATAAATGTACTGAGTTACTTTTTCTTTTTTTAGAAATGTCCGTTACATTTCAGTTTTATTAATTTGATGTAAAAAAAAAAAAAGAAAAAAAATGTAAATAAAATTTTAAATAAAATTTTTTTTAAATAAAATTTTAAATAAAATCTTAAATACAATTTTAAATAAAATGTTAGTAATTTGATTTAAAAAAAAAAAAAAAACCTGTAAAAGACGAGCCTCGGCCAGATGAGAAAAAGAAACACAAAAGTAACTTAAAACATTTAAGTAACGTTACTTTTTTTAGGGTGTATCGCAATATTGTAATGCCTTACTTGTAAAAGTTTCCCGAACACTGGTCTAACATGCATTATTAAGATCAACAGCTGAATTAGTTCATGCACTTTGAACCTTTGCAACGTGAACATTTTACTAACTAACACTAACAAAGGTTAATAATAACTGATGTCAACAAATGAGACCTTATTGTACAGTAAATATCATATTTTCATATACACTCCTCATGCAAATCTCACTGTATAAGTCTATTTCTTGGCCCGTTTCATCATCGCCCAAGTGAAATCGGATCTGAGCATTAGTAAGCAACCCTGATTATTCAGAACGGCGTTTTTGAAATTGAATGCAGCGTTTGCTTGTGCACTTATCGATTATTCAGCGGTTTGATGATTCTGTCAATCACGACTCTGTGAAGATTATCACAAACATCAGCTCTCTTCAGATTCCCAGGCTCATGTTGTGCACTAATGCTTTCATCCTCAATCTTTCATAGGCAAAGAGCCAGTCGATCTGTGTGTGTGTGTGTGTGTGTGTGTGTTACTGCAGATCAAACCTGCTGTTCCTCACCTCGATCTCTTTCTCCTCAAACGCGTCCTGTGGCACAGACTTCACCCGGCTGAGGATGGGAATGCTTCTGTGTATGAGTGAACATCCCTGACACACGAACACACCGAGAGTCACTGACACCCAGTCCGGCTCTGAGGAACAACAGAGGAACAACATTAACCGAAAGCTTCACTAATCTGTGACGACTGGCCGATTACATGAAATATGAAGACTCCACTACTGGAACATCATCACTTGCAAACATATTTATGCCTAAAATTATTTTTATTGCATTTAAAGTAACACTTTAGCTTAGGGTCCAATTCTCACTATGAAGTTGCTTATTATCATGCATATTACGTGAGTCCATGTTTATTTTGTGTATTTTTTACGCTCCAGTTCACTGTAAAAAAATGACTTGGTTTAACTTTAAAAAGTAAGTGACCTGGTAGCCTTAACATTGAGTTCATTTAAATAAAATATTTGAGTTAATACAATGATTGGTTTGATGAAAAGAAACTCAAAATATTATGTTTGAACCACATTAATGATCATTATCATTATTATTAAGTTGATTTGACAAAATAAAAAATGTTGTGATAACAAATCATGAAAACATTTTTCACAGTGAGTTTCAGTTTTGCTTTAAATACATTTACCGTTTTTTAATTAATACTGTTAATAATAAATTGCACTATAAATTCATGCTTGTTTTATGATCATATTTTCCATTCCTGTTCTGAAAACAATTTCCGTTTAATTTCAAATTTATTTCAAATTTAAATAAATATTTTTTATAAAATACCCGATTTATTTACCGGTATTTTACATTATTTCTGAATGTAATAATAAGATGCGACTTACTGTTTTTTTTTTCTCAACAATGCAATTTTTTAGTAACGTCCAACTTATTTTCTAGAATGCATTGTTGATGTGTAGATGTGAGGGGTTACAGTTATGCATTTTTTTTAAACACTTTTATTCATAATGACATACAGTGCATTCAAGATTTACATATTATCATGAATATGATCATGATTATCCATATGCATCAGTGGCTAAAAGTGATGAGTGTTTGTTTTTAATGACCCTACAAGTTTGATTAAACTATAAAAATATGAGGAAAATATTTCATGCTTTTTAAGTATTTTAAACATGAGAGAAGAACAAAACTGTAAACTTGGCTAAGATGTTTATCTGACATAAATATTTGACAAAAAAGGCAAACTACAGCTTCAGGATTCATCTTACTATGCAAAAAAACTGCATAGAAAAACAAAAAGCTGACAGAATAAAGCACACACTACAACATAATCAGTTATTAATATTTTGTTGGGTCTCTTGTTTTGCGTGTGTTAGTTTAGGGTCCAATTCTCATGAACTTTGCTTATTATCATGCATATTACTAGCATATTGGCTGTTTATTAGTACTTATAAAGCACATATTAATATGCATGATCTTCTTCATCCCTTAATACTACAATACCTAAACATAACTACTGCCTCACTAACTATTAATAAGCAGTAATTATGAGTTTATTGAGGCAAAAGTCGTAGTTAATAGTGAGATTTGGATCGTGTGTGACGATAATGTCTGGCCAGAAAGGATGTTGCACAATTTGTCATGTTTCATTGCAATTATTATCACAAATAAAACAACTGATTCCAGCTACGCAATATGCTTACAAAATCTTTTTCATAACACTTTTGGCCACTACTGCAGTAAAACGCACCATCTTAGATTCAGTTAATGGGTTTTTTTGGAGCTGGGGAAGAAGATTAATAGCAACACAAGACTCCACTATATTGGAACATCATCACTCGCAAAAATATTTAGGCCTAAAATTATTTTTATTGCATATAAAATTACAGTATCGCTTTAGTTTAGGGTCCAATTCTCACAATTAACTAGTTGCTTATTATCATGCATATTCAGATATTGGCTATTAGTACACTCTAAAAAAACTCTGGGTTGTTTCAACCCAAATTTGGGTCAAATATGGACAAACCCAAATGTTGGGTTAAAAATGTAATAAAAAAAATTACAGTTGAAAGTGAAAGTTGAAGTTGGGTTAAAATTTTAAATTACATTTGGGTTTGTCCATATTTGACCCAAATTTGGGTTGAAACAACCCATCATTTTCTAAAGTGTACTTATAAAGCACATATTAATCTGCATGATCATATTCTTCATCCCTTAATCCTACAATACTGTACCTAAACTTAACAACTACCTTACTAATTATTAATAAGCAGTAATTATGAGTTTATTGAGGCAAAAGTCGTAGTTAATAGTGAGAATTGGATCCTAAACTAAAGTGTGACCAAAATGTCCATCCATTTGGATTAGAATGTTTAAGCATTAACAAACTAATAAACTTAAAGTGATCAATATTTATCAGTCATGCATAAATACAACGGGTACGATTTCTGTAATAGTATAAATAACTGAATGTGTTTTACATACACAAAAAACATATATTTTATCATCAATAAACCCAATTTGTTTTAATCTCATACATTTTAACTACCGGTAACTGAATATTGCTTGTCTCACAGCTAGCCATGTTCATACTCTTTAACTAAATACATTTTACTTTAAACTATTCCGGTGAAGTTCACAGCTAAAAAGGTCATTTTCTGGCAATTTGCACTTTATGCAAAATTATAAATATATAAAAATTATATGATCATTAAGTTGTGACAACATATGTTTTTACATTGCTTTAACTCATCAAAATAAGTTCAGCAATTTTCAACTTTTTTATGTTATACAAGATTCAACTCATTTTTTTAAGTCAGTTTAATGTCATTTAAGTTGAAATAACTTAAATATCCAAGTTGATTGCACTTAAAAATTTAAGGGAGCAACTTTTTTTTTACAGTGTAGGTTGCACTTATTTTATCATTGCATATTTTGGATGGTATGCAAATTATCACACTGACAGACAGTAATATCATTGCTATACCATTTACTTTTAAAACATGCATCCATGTGCAATTGGGACCATTAGTGGAGGCCAAAAAACAACTGGTTAAAAAGTAGGACCGCTGTGTGTGTGTTCCTATCACGGTTAATGCTGAGGTCTGAGAGTCTTTATAAACTGCACATACAAACCACAGAGGTTACTATAATAATTATACCGTTAGTCTACGCTGAAATGTCAAACACAAGCGAACCCACAAGGGCGACAGAAATCACACATACGTTTGATCACACATTTGTGCCACAGTTTGACACACTTCAGGTGCGAGTGTTGCTAAACGCTGAGCTGTAAACGCTGAAGGCATGGGAGTTTCGGCTGTTGATGTGACAAAACAGGCATGAACTGAAAGTCAGGTTTCTTGACTTCTAAAAGTGATGCAATACATGAGAAACTGTGAGTATCACACACTGCGTGGGATAAAACAGTGCAGTTATTGTTTAAAGGAGAAAGAGGGGCGATTGGAGAGACAGAGAGAAGGAGAGCGAGAGGCTTGTGACCAAATGAAATGGACTTTGTTTGGTCTTTTACCCACTTTTAGTTCTTGGCTGGCTGGTTATCTGATCGAGGTGTGGCTCTCTGCTACCAGAATACACACCTTTGTGCTCATAAAGTTACTCTTCATGTTACACAACACATACTGAGCACAAAATGCAGATTAATTACTATTCACCGTCATAATTTAAACCTGTGTGACTCTCTTTCTTTCGTGAAACACAAAATTAGACATTTTGAAGAATGTCCAGGTTGCTCTTTTCCATGCAATTTACTTACAAGCTTCAAAACGGATACAAAAGCACCATAAAAGTGCAACTTTATTCACTTTAAATAGATGAGGATCAAAGTTTTTCCAGCTGAAAACATTGGCTAGTATAGTTATTAGTTCAGTTATCTTTATAGTTATTGTTTTCAGTGTGAAAAGGCTTTAATTCAGAATCATGCATACCACTTTTGTGAACGCGTCGACTGGATCAATGAAATAAACCAGACTGAAAATAATTCACCATTTCGGTAACACTTTACTTAAAGCCTTTATATATAATGCATCATAGAAGTATTTTTAATGCATTAATTATGCCTTGTGATGCACCTTACAATGCATTGTCTGATCTCATGAATTATTGTGACCACAGTTTTATAATGCATTATAGTAATACTATTCAGTGTTACACCTTTGGAAAGCATAATAAAACAACAGATTTCAGATGCAACAAGCAATCTGCGAATATTATAATGCATTTTTGCAAATGTATTCATTAAATGCATTTTAATGAATACATTTATATTGCATTATACATCAAGGTTACCAAAATTTATTTTGGTAAAAAAAAGTCATATGACAGAATTTTAATTTTTGGACAAACTAATCTTTGTTATTATTTATTTCAGTCATTGAATTGAACTTTGAATGTGCTTCACATGATCAGAACTGCATTAAACACACGTCTGAATGTGTTTCACATGATCAGAACTGCATTAAACACACGTCTGAATGTGTTTCACATGATCAGAACTGCATTAAACACACGTCTGAATGTGCTTCACATGATCAGAACTGCATTAAACACACGTCTGAATGTGTTTCACATGATCAGAACTGCATTAAACACACGTCTGAATGTGCTTCACATGATCAGAACTGCATTAAACACACGTCTGAATGTGCTTCACATGATCAGAACTGCATTAAACACACGTCTGAATGTGCTTCACATGATCAGAACTGCATTAAACACACGTCTGAATGTGCTTCACATGATCAGAACTGCATTAAACACACGTCTGAATGTGTTTCACATGATCAGAACTGCATTAAACACACGTCTGAATGTGCTTCACATGATCAGAACTGCATTAAACACACGTCTGAATGTGCTTCACATGATCAGAACTGCATTAAACACACGTCTGAATGTGTTTCACATGATCAGAACTGCATTAAACACACGTCTGAATGTGTTTCACATGATCAGAACTGCATTAAACACACGTCTGAATGTGTTTCACATGAACAGAACTGCATTAAACACACGTCTGAATGTGCTTCACATGATCAGAACTGCATTAAACACACGTCTGAATGTGTTTCACATGATCAGAACTGCATTAAACACACGTCTGAATGTGTTTCACATGATCAGAACTGCATTAAACACACGTCTGAATGTGTTTCACATGAACAGAACTGCATTA